CCACCACCACCACCACCACTACCTTCTCAGCAACCACAAAGATCGCCTTCACCATTTGTTTCTAGAAAATTACGTGGCAAATTTTAATTGGTTTAAGGTTTTGGAAAAGAAACAAATAAATACATTAGGTTATTAATTTAAAACTTTTGAAAATATACATTATTTGACTTAAAGTGTAAGATTTGAAGAAAAAAAGTTTAAGCATATCAGTGGAACTTCTAAATAATATTGACAAAAACTTACACTATAACAAAAAAAGTATATATTTCAATACTTTATTCCGATATTTAATATTTAAGTTGTTGGAAGATTCATTTGGCACAAGAAATAGTTAAAAAATATATATGATAGATGAAACATAGATTCTAGGATTTTAAACATTTAGTTGATTATTTACTATTATTGGCTATTATTTCTTTTTTTCCTTTCTATTTCTAGTTATCTTAATTACGTATTGACACGTAATGCACATGATTTACTTGCATGCAAAAAAAATTTCGTGCAAATTGCAAAATTTGCCTATACCGGTGTCCACATTAATATTCACCATTTTAGGGAGAAAACAATTTTCATTTAAAAGTTTTTAATGACATTAGTTTGTATTTGAAAAATTCAAATTTATTTAATTTAGATAAAAGTGGGAATGTTTAAATTAATAACAGGCTGTTTTTTTATGGAGAAAAAAATTGAATAGGTCATAAGAATAATAATGGTTAGCAAAGAGAATTGAGTATATTTAAAGTAATTATGTTGCTATTGGCAAGATTATAATTTTGATTAATTATCACTTGTGGGACACTCTGAGTGAAAAAAAAAAAAAAAAATCGAATTTGCACCTTTTTGACACACAAGTGTGAACACAGGAATTATAAAAAAAAAAGGTGTGAAAAAAAAACTAATTAAGGTTTTCTCAATTAAATATAAGCAAGGAAAATTAATAGTAATTTGAATAATGCCAACATAATTGTTGTTTGATTGTAAGTTTTTAAATTATTACAGGTTTGAGTACATATTGGCAAATATTCAAGTAAATTTTAAGATTTATAAGTATCAAGGTGCAAAATTTAATAACACCTATTTTAATAGTAATTAAACAAGAATAAAGTACAATAGAAGTGAATTATATTTAATTAAAAGATTATTAAATATGAAGAAAATACTAATATTTTTTATTATCTTATATTTCAACCTTGAGTAAGTTTATTGTGATTAGTAATATTCTTCTATATGAATGAATATTATTTATTGTACAAATTTGAATTTTTTTGTTTTAATTATCATTCCAGCATTTCGGTGTTATGCCATCCAGTCGAATTATTAAAGATTTTAGATGATTTAAAAGTTAATTCAGAAGATAGAGTTGGAATATTTTCAAACTCGAGTAAAATGAAAAAGAGGTCAAAAAGTAGGGAATCAGTAAGAAACAAAAATTCAAGGGAAATGCAAATACAATATTCATCAGCTAAGACTGGTAAGTTGATTATAAACTGCAGTGATAATCGTCTAATTAAAATTAACTCACTCAAATACATAATAATAAAC